GTTCTTGTGCAGATGCCCTCTCTTCTTATTCGCTGGATGCTTCACTCTCCACTCTAGTCCTCTGTGGCTATGTCACTGTCTCTGGGCCCAAGAGTCCCCAGGTCTTGCTACACTGCTGGCCAACCAGGTCTTCACCCGGGTTGGAGCAGTTTTGAGCTTTGTCATAACAATGGATGGAAAAGTGATCTCATGGGGATAAAATAAGACTGCTGAAAACACAGATGAGGGACAGGCCACTAAAAGAAAAGCAGGACATTTTGAAGTGGTGAAAATGCTCCTGATTGTGGTTGTGGTTACCAGGGATATAAACTTGTCAAACTTCATCAAAACGTACACAAAGTCGTCCTTCATAAAGTTGATTTTTAAAAATAAAAATAAGAAAGGTACAAAAATTCTAATCACATTACGAAAATGAATTGAACATTCAAATTCAGTTCTTTAACTAGATATTTAGAAGAAACACTTGGCTGGCATTTTGTGAAGACACAAAATTTTTTGTTTTGTTTTTAAACTTATAGAGAAGATGTCTTATATTTTGAACTTAGAGCTTAACATTTTCACATCTACATTGTTGTTTTTAATATTCGAGTTGGAAGGACTATACCAGAAAAAATCACTTCTCTCCTAGGTATCCAAAAGATGTCCAGGAGCTGCTGGTTCAGAATGTGTTCCTCACTGGCGGGAACATGATGTACCCGGGGATGAAAGCCAGGATTGAGAAGGAGCTGCTGGAGATGAGGCCTTTCCAGTCTTCCTTCCAGGTACTGATTAGGCCAGGAACTGTTTGGCAAATAGCATTAATGATTTGCTTTCTGTTGTAAAAATAGCAAAATCAAGTGTAAATAAAATGAATTGCAGATGACAAAAATGCTTTAAAGTCTAGTTATCCTAAGTCTCTGCTGTTAACATGTATATGGCTTTTCTCTGGTTGTCAGTCTATATTTCATTTTTAAAGCTGAATTAGAATCATGTTTTATATACTTCTTTTTCTCCTCCCTGTATCTATATATTCCTTACCAGAGCTGCCTTGATATGGGCAGGAACAATGAGTGTCTTGTGTACTGTTGTGTTCTAAGGCTTTGGCACAGGGTCAGTGGCTTGGTCACCATGCAGTATATATGAAGCCAGGTGGCAGAGAGAGAGGACAGGAGGGGTTTGATACAAGAGCGATGAAGAACGTAAACTCATCAGTACTTAGTAATAAATTGAATATCAGGCTAGAAGTGGGACATAGACTGAAACTTCCAGGTTCTAGGTTGGAAAAATTGTTAGCTACATGTAACATTCCCTGAGCTCGGAAGTAGGGGAAGGAAAACGAGTTTGAAGGGATAGTGATGAATTCCTTTTCTAAATGGGTTGGTGGATGGGTGGGAGGTGGAGTGAGTGGAATGCACTCAGACAGGAAGAAGAGATGGCCCTCGGTAGCTGATGAGAGCGCAGGAGAAAGGTAGATTTGAATCTCCTAGCATTATTTGCCAGTCCTGGTGTGGTGTTTTAGGATAATCAGGTTGATGGTTCAAACCCACCAACTGCTCCTTGGAAACCCTATACAGGGTCTCTATGAGTCGGAACCAACTTGAATGCACTAAACAACAACAGCAGGGTTATGTGCCAATGGGCACTCTTTTGGAAAGTGGCAAAGTCAAAGCTGAAACCCTTAATAACACCAGCATTTAAATGCAGTTGGAAGATGGAGCTGCCAATGAAGAAGTCTAAGAAAGAGGCAGTAGAGAGAGGATTAGGAGGGAGCAGTGGTACCAAAGCCAGGGGTGAACTGATATAGGAAAGGACTTCAAAAAGTTTATGGAAAAATGGAATGTGAAGACAATGGAATTTTTCCACAAACTTATTGAATCCCCCTTGTAGTACGAACATGGGTACACAGTGACAAAGTTGACTTGTGATAAGTAATTGAGAGAAAACTGAATTTGACTTTGGAAACCTTTTTCTTGATCCTAAAGCCTTTCCCATGCATTGGAAGTATCAGGGACAGACATGCTGCTTCATCTTTCCAGCTCCATCTGGTAGCTGTGTATACATGTGGTATATCCAGCTCTACCTTCTTCCCAGGAAGCCCCTTCCCCACTCCATGTGTGTTGAGTGCATGTCAGGCAGTGCTTAATCCTCAATATACTCATTTTACATGAGATGAAAACAGCAGTGGTTCAAACATACCAACCCTTTGTTGCCCTGCATGGTCTTTAGAAGGGAGAGAATGCCATGATGCACTTAACCCTCATACAGGTGGTGTTAACTGGTTGTTTTTGTGTTCTTGTGGTGTTTGGGTTTGTTTGGTTTTTTTTTAATTAAAGGAAAATTAGAAATTCTCAAAAATTAAATGGAATGTATAAACAGAGATATATTCTAGGCATTAGTAAGTGAAAATGGACTGGGTTTGGCCATTTTGAATCTGACAGTTACAGAGTTTACTATGCTAGGAATGATAAATTGAAGGAGAATGCTGTCGCATTCATCATCAAAAAGAATATATCAAGATCTGCCCTGAAGTACAGTGCTGTCTGTGTGATATGATAATGTCCATTCGCCTATAAGGAAGACCAGTTAATACCACTATATTTCAAATTTATGTGCTAGCCACTAAAGCCAGTGATGATGAAACTAAAGATTTCTACCAACTTCTTCAGTCTGAAATTGATCAAACATGCAATCATAATGTATTGTTAATTACTGGCAATTGGAATACAAAGGTTGGATACAAAGAAGGAAGATCAGTAATTGGAAAATATGGTGTTGGTGATAGAAACAATGCTGGAGATAACATGATAGAATTTTTCAAGACCAATGATTTATTGCAAATACCTTTTTAAAACAACTTAAAAGACGACTATACACATGGACCTAACCAGATAGAATATACAGAAATCAAATTGACTACATCTGTGGAAAGAGCTCCATATCATCAGCCAAAACAAGGCCAGGAGCAGACTGTGGAACAGACCATCAATTACTCATATGCAAGTTCAGGCTGAAGCTGAAGAAAATGAAAACAAGTCCACAGGAACCAAAATATGACCTTCAACATATCCCATCTGAATTTAGAGTTCATTTCAAGAACAGATTTGATGCATTGGACTCTAAAGACCAAAGACCAGAAGAGTTATAGGATGACATCAAGAACATCATACAAGAAGAAAGCAGAGGTCATTAAGAAGACATGAAAGAAGAAAAAGATCCAAATGGATGTCAGAAGAAACTCTGAAACTTGCTCTCTAGCATGTTGTTGTTAAGTGCTGTCGCATCGGTTCCAACTCATAGCAACCCTGTATAGGGTTTCTAAGGAGCAATTGGTGAATTTAAACTACCAACCTTGTGGTTCAAACCAACCTTGCTGGTCCAGTGCTTTATCCCACAGCGCCACGCCAGGACTCCACAGTGCCATACCAGGACTCTGCTCTCTAGCATAGAGATGGTAAAGCAAATGGGCAAAATGAGGTAAAAGAGCTGAACAGAAAATTTCAAAGGTCAGCTCGAGAAGACAAAGTCAAATATTATAATAAAATGGGCAAAGACCTAGAGTTAGAAAACCAAAAGGGAAGCATTTCTCAATCTGAGGAAAATGAAGAAAAATTTCAAGCCTCGATTTGCTATACTGAAGGATTCTATGGACAAAATATTGAATGATACAGAAAGCATCAAAAGAAGGTGGAAAGTGGGCTAAATGGGACAAAGGTAAACAGTGATGTATGCTCAACCTTGAAACAGCAGGGCTCTGTGACAAAGGGATTGAGGCATAGTCTGAGTAGGTAAAAGAGGGGAAGTAATGTTAAGATGCCTGATTGTCTTACGAATATCAGTTTCCTTGACACTTGAGTGGGATAGAAAGGAATATTGGGAAACATGATTATAGAAAGTTTATAAGCCCATCTTCAGCCTATAACTGATTGGAATATCTAAAAGGGATTCTAGAACTTGCCCAGTGAAATAGGCTTCTTGCAGAGCCTTTATACTGTACAGGACCTTAGGTGGAATCCTGAGCCCCATCCAGAACCTTCTGAGGTGGGACAGTTGCACTTGAAAGGAAAAGCAGACCAACCTGGAATAGCTAGAGGAACAGAAGATACTTCTTGAGAGAAAGACCAGCAGGGAAAATCCAAAACAAAAATGGCAGTCTGATTGGCTACTACAAGAACAAGCAAGTTGTTTGCCAGGTAGCCATCAAGGTAAGCAATCAAGTCCCTTCAGTACAAATCCTCTTCCAAGACTGAAACTCAGAGGGAACACACAAGCAGGCATGTAAGATTGCTGGTGATCATGTTGGTCTACATGTAAGTGGAAGTGGGAGAAAGACAGCAATGAAGATAATGGGCTGAGTTCAACCACGTTCCATAGACTCCTGTCGACCCCTGGAGATGGGAAAGAGAAGGGCTGGTTGGTCCGATGTGTGGTGAGAACTGAGGACTCCTAAGCCCATAGACAAGGACCTAGCCAAGGAAAGCTAGAGCTGAGAGTAAAGCATCCAGCTGACATGAGTTAAGGGGAGACACACAAGAACACCCAAACTTGCAGATAAGTACCCATTTGACCTAACCTCGATGGCTAAATGATCAGAACTCGACTGGTGGTTGTGGTTATGTGCCATGGATTTGGTTCCAACTCATGGTGACCTTGTACTGGGTTTCCGAGGCGGTAAATCTTTATGGGAGCAGAAAGCCTCATCTTTCTCCCACGTAACAGCTGGTAGTTTTGAACGGCTGACCTTAAGGCTTGCAGCCTGATTCGTAACCACTACACTACCAGAGCTCCTTAGAACTTGACTGTTGTTGTTGTTGTTAAGTGCCATCAAGTCGGGTCCGACCTATAGCGACCCTGTACAGGGTTTCCGAGGGTGTAAATCTTTACGGGAGTAGAAAGCCTCATCTTTCTCCCGCGGAGCGGCTGGTAGTTAGAACTTGACTAGAGGAAGATAAAGAAATTTGATAAAGGAAACAAGTGTAAATTGCTACATTGAATGATTTTGACCTATACTTATGGATGTAGTAGCTCAAAATACCAACTGAGAGGGAAGGAATCTTCACATCAAGGATCAAACCTTTCCCCCCTTGATAGGGATGGGCAATTTAGACATTGGCTACCTAAAATGGGGAGGGATTATAAAGGCATGAAGTGGCTAGCTTACAAGTTTTCAAGGAGTTTAGCTTCAGAGTATGCAGGGAAGGTAGAACACCCACTGAATAGTTTTCATCTTGTCTAGATGGGTCTGGTGAAAGGAGATGGGGATAAGATTTTTATGATTCAATGGTGAGTAATTGTTATCATGACTAATTGCGATGGTCACAACTGTAAAGGTAGAAGTTTTGTAACATAAAGGGTGGGGGTGGGGGGAGTAGTTAGTCTTACATTCCAGGAACAGAGGACCCTAGGACCATTAAGGGAGAAGAGCATGAGCAGAATGTGGGACTCTATCCAGAGAAGCAGTGACACCAGAGATGAAGGCAGAGATGATAACATGGAGAGAGATAGAGCAGCTGAGGACTCTAGACTCATGGAAAGAGAAAGGCTGTGTGTTGGCAGTCAGGAGGCAGGCTTGCAGAATGTGCCCTTTGGTTGTTTAAATGATTATATATTCCTGAGTGTTTTTGTGTACATCAAGAAAAAAAAAAAACCCAGAGGGAATAGAAGCAAATACTGTTGCTTGTTAATGCGTGGAGGGGATTGTAATCCTTGCAATGAAACGAAATACAATAGGATGAGTGCAAAACTGGTGTTCTTCCATGTAAACTATCAGTCAATTCACACTAAA